GCAGCAGCAGCAGCAGCAGCAGCAGCAGCAGCAGCAGCAGGAGCAGCAGCGGCACAAGCAGCAGCAGCAGCAGCAGTGGCCACAGGGGGACATGTGCGGGGAGGGGGAGCGGATTGGTGGCGGGGAAGGGATGGAAATGGGGCGGGAAGGTGGGGAAGCAGGCAATGCGGGTCGACTGGATGCAAATGGAGGGGCGGGGTTTTGGATCCCGGAAATCAGGGGGGGAAATCTGGAAAGTGCAGAGGGAGAGGTTGCTGCAAGGAGGACCGAGAAGGGGCGTGGACCTGAAGCTGAGGAGGATGGGAAGGGGGTTAAAGGAGCTTCAGAGGTGGGAGAAGGAATGGAAATGAGAGGTGGGGGGAGTGCGAGGGTCATGGTCACACCTGGTAAAACTGTGGGGGGAGGGCATTCGATGGAATGGAAGTGTAGTTTAGATTCGCCAACTGTATTAGCAGCAGGTGCAGCAGCAGCAGGAGCAGCAGTAGCAGTTGCAGGAGCAGGAAAAGCAGCAGCAGCAGCAAGAGCAGCAGGAGCAGGAGGAGCAGGAGGGGCAGTAGGAGTACCAGGGGAGGTTGTGGCAATGAGTGTAGGGAGAAGAGGAGGCGGAGTGAGGCTGAAGAGACCAAGGGAGGGTGGGATGTCTGAGAAGGAGCGGGTGGATGGGGAGGAGAGTGAGGAGGCTGGAGAGGATGAGAGCAGCAGCAGTGACGAGGAAAGTGAGGGTCGGGGAAAAGGGGGGATGAACGGGGCGGCAGTGAGGGGAGGCAGGAAGTCAGAGGAGACAGCGGAAGGGAGAGGGGAGCAGGGGGGTGGGTTTGCAGGGCTGCGGTGCCTGGTGGTGGAGGACAACGCGGTGAACCGCATGGTGGTGGTGCGGCTTCTGCGGAGCCTCAAGGTGGCGTGTGATGTGGCTGAGGATGGAAGCAAGGCCGTGCAGGCGTGTGTGCGGTGCTGCTACGACATCATATTCATGGTGCGTGCCTTGCTGCGTTCCAGTTCCATTCATGGAGAGTTGCTTGAAGCCACTCTTTGTTTTTTTGTTTTGTTTTTTGTTTGTTTTTTAATTATTATTACTATTAAGATCATTACTATTATTTATGAGAAACTAAGAGGCAGCAGATTTTCCCTGCAACACATGCCTCCCCGCAACCTGCCTTGTCACTGGCAGGACTGCCACATGCCAGTCATGGACGGGTTTGAGGCCACGGAAAGGATACGTCAGCTGCAAACAGAGGACGGCGATGCTAGTGGCGGTGATGGGGAGAGGGCAATGTCTGATGCTGTGGATGTGAAGCAGCAGGAACAGCAGCACCAGGAGCAGCAGCAGGCGGGGGAGCAGGAAATAATGAAGGGGCCGAAAGTGCAATCATTCATGTGCTCAAAAGGAGAGCAGGAATCCAGGCAGGAGAAGCCGCACCATCGGAGGAAGCGGTCAGTCATATATGCGCTGACAGCAAGCGTGTTGAAGCACGAGAGGGACAAGTGTGTGAGTGTAGGGATGGATGGCTTCCTTGCCAAGCCCATAAGGCTCAAAGACATCCAGCAGGTTCTCGGTCAGTTGATGCTTGATATCAGAGAGAAGAAAGCTGAAGGAACTGGCTCACTGTGTGTGAATACAGGCCCTCAATGATGCCTAGAACCTTGTTTTGCTACGGTACCTGAATATTAACAAATTTGTAGTGTAAGCGATTGCATATGTGTAGCAACTGGAGCGGGCACACCCGTGGCGAGGCGAGCTGGTATCAGCACAGTCCTATGGCATTGCAAGAGTGGGTGCTGCTGTGGTGAGAGAATTGCTCCAGTGTCTTGTTTGGTGATTCGCTCTTGCCCACGTGTCCCCGAATTGCTCGAGTGGCCATCCGCAGTTCAGTGTAGCGAGAAACAGGGTGTAGTGCGAATTTATTGGATTGTGCAAATCTAGACAATCTTTTTGTCAGGAAGATTGCATCACCACTGTACACAATTCTGTGGTTTCGGCTTCCACTGCTCGCGCGTGGCCAGCCATTTCACAGCATTTCTTGTGTCGGTGGTTCTTATCCTTGTCTTTTTCCTCACGGAGTTCCCATCATTGCCAGCACTTCTTCGACCACCTCAGCGCCTCCACCGTTGCTGGGTTTTCTTCATGTTTTCCACGTACTGTACACTCCCTCAAAACTACACTTATGGTTGCACATCACTGCACTTTCTCATCACAGGATGGAACTTGGAGATGAGAGTTTTTGAAAGAGGTCACACAGATCTGCCTGGGGAAAATGGACAATGGTCTACGATCCGATCCCAACAGCTAGTCTTGCGTGGCTCACAGAATCCGTGCACACTGCCACATCCTGGAAATTGCTCTACCGCAAGTATCAGTCTTTCCCCGCCCCGTCCCTGAGGCTGCTAGTGATTACCCTCGTCTTCACGAACATAATCGTAAACATCACTTACAGGTTGTCATGATGAGATATGCAGCGCTGTAACCTTTCTTCCTTGTGCTTTCTTTCGGTGGAAAACCCCGATGCTGTTTGAGCTACCCTCGGTACTCTGGGTTCTCCAAAACAATTTTCGAGCCTTCACAAACGGGACAGGGATGCTGCCCCTTTGTCTCGCGTGTCCACGTCTCATTTCCCAGACACGTGATCGCATCCTTTACCATGCGTCTCCCCCTCCCGCTCTCACCTCCCCTTCCTGCTCCTCACCATGTGCTCATTTCCTATCCCACACCGCACCTCGCCATGTTACATCATATCCAACCAATGTCTACCGTGCCAGAAATCAGAAATGCATAGACCTAACCAAATTCGTTCACTCTGGTTTCTTGCTTATCAACTGCTGCTTCAGATCAGATGGCTCCTCATTTTCGAAGGGCAACTTTTCTGTTCTAAGGGGGACTGTTGTGCGCAGACTACGGCCAAATGCGATGTTCTCTAGGAGCGTTTGATTCTGTTTTTTATCAGACTTGTTGGAGCTTTTGGAAGGAAATGCTCTTGGGATTACCACCCCGCGGCATGTATCATTAGCTTCTGGAACTCGCTTGCGTCATCGCCTAGAAGCTTCCGTGACAAGCCATCCCCTTCTGTTTTCAAGCGCTGGAACTCAAGTCGACCAGCTTATGCGCTACCTTTCATTAGCTTCGGTATGCAGGTGGAGAGTCACATAATGGTTTGACGTTGCGGGACTCGCGAAGCCTTATTTTATTTTCACTTAGTCCAAGTATGATTAACGAACACGCGTGCCTTGATCCACTAGGATCCTAAATAGCAATCGATAGTCACATGCGTAGATTGAATCCCTAGTTACTTTTGACCAGAGGTCACGAAGTAGTGTAGCATACTCCGCTTAGCACGCCTCGCACAGAGCTTCAGAAGCAGAAAATGCTTACGAGCACGCCTTCTCACCACTGTCAATATCTCGGTCCGATGCTTCTAGATGTTATTCCCGCGGCTCTTTTCACCTGCGACGAGGGTTTCCGCATCGCTCACTGCAGGTACATCGATCTGGACATAAAATTTCACTCCGTACATCTTGGAGTTTTTGACTGTTTCTCTAGTCCTTTTGTCGTTTCCCTTGCTTCGTATCCTCGTTGCTAAAGTCGTACGAAAGCCCCTCGGTCCGATGCGTGTGCAGCCATGCGTTGATGGGAATTCTTGGAGAGAAGCCCGAGGTTATTCGAGGGAAGCGAGTAGCCGAACTTGTACATTCAGAAGATGCAAGAGCCGTGGAGGTCCGTCCATCTCTCCCTCTTTCGCTCTCCTTCCCTCACTCTTCTTCCGCAACTCTCCTTCCCCAACTCTCCCTCTCTCTGTCTCTTCCTCGCTCTCCCTGGATTCCAGTGCCAGCATGATCGCATGAAGGAATATATTAGAGAGCGTAGCGATAGCGAGAGAGTCTCTGCTATGGGAATGATGTTGCGCCAGCAACTTGGTAGAGTTTTGGTAGCGTTTGCCTCTAAGGACTTTGTGAGAATTGAAGTAGCATTTGGGCCAAGTAGAATTGCAATATCAATTATCAAACACACAAGCAAACACAAACATATATAGGCAAGCAAGAGTTGCACAATTGTTGCGTGGCGCTGCGAGTAACCCAACCCACACGAAAGTGCTGTGCAGGTGGGTGAACGCGCCCCGCACATTTCCAACCCAACTCGGCACCGGAATGTCTCACCGTGCACGCTACTCCTGCCAACACAGCAAGTGAGCAACGTGCCTCACAAGCAAGGCACCTACGACCCCCAAGACTCGTCATTCCTAGCACCGATTCCGCCGAGTTCGCTGCAGTAGCTCACAGTCACCCGTAGTCACTAATGACCGCCACCGAACTCGTGCGTCGGTGCCGAGTAGACTCAGTCGTTAGGCGCCGACCTGCCAAGTCAAAGGTCATCGAGGGCCCTTGCTGTCGTAGGGCCCTCTAACATCGCACACATAATCTTAACCAATCACGATCTCACAACGAATTTCACCCGCGAGCATGATTCACGCTTGGATCCTAAACCTTCTCATTCTCCATCACGCCTCTTATCCTCCCCGCCGTATGTTCAGCCAATAATGGCCGAGTTCGCTCGAGCCGGTTCAACCCCTCAGCGGAAGCGTGTCGATGTGCGACTACGAGTCGGCGACGAGCGACACCGCGACGAAACCGTCACGAGCGCGAATGCGAACAGCTCGCAGGCTTCGCAATGGGTATGGTTCGAGATGTCGCTCGTGACGAGAGTCGTCGCCGGCGATGCGTTTCGCAGAGCAGGCAACTGTCGCAGCAAGGAAGGCGATCATCGCGACAGAGCAGGACTGCGGACGGAACACGCAGAGCAGCCGGTTCGCGCGGCATCGAAAGAGGTCGAGGCGACACCGATGGGTTTAGACAGTATTCCACTCGAGGGTTCCCGGGCTGCAGAGGTCCGCAACGGCGGCGGCGGCAGCGGTGGCAGCGGCGGTAGTGGCGGCGAGGGAGCGACGGCGCGGCCGCAGGAACAGGCGTGCATTCTCGCGACGTTCCACGAGATCTCCGCGCGGCGAGCGAGCATGGTGAGTCCAGCACCGCACGCGTCGCTTCCTGCGCCGCGCGTCGCGCGTTGCTAAAGCTACCGCCGTGAATCACGTGTCCGCTTCCACCCACGGTCGTGACCACGGATGACGGACCGCCGCCTTGTGCTTGCACCCGCCTTGTCCGCTCGCTTCCCGCTCGCAGTCTCGCCTGCTTCCCTCACTCTTCGTCCTCGCTGTCTCACTGTCACGCCTCCCCCATCGCCCTCCCCCCTCCCCGCGACGTGCGCAGGACGTGCTAGTGCGCGAGCTGCGGCGGACCGCCGACATGGCCGTGCGCGTAGCGGGCAGGGGAGACGGCGACTCGCCACACAGCCCTCGCGACGACGACCGGCAGACACGGCGACAGCCCTCTGACGCCACGCACAGCCCCCCTCGCAGCGGCGACCCTCGGAACCCTAACGCCGACGATGATGGCTCGCAGAGGGCGGGCGCTGGTGCCGCGCGCAGCCCTTTGGATTCCAACGCCGTGGGCGGATCTAACAGTGACAGGGCACTCGGCACTGGGGGAGGCGCTGCCCCCGTTGCGACCAGGGAGGAGGGAAGCGGGAGCGAGGGGAGTGAGGGGGAGAAGAGAGGGAAGGAAGCGAGAGGGAAGGAGGCGAGAGGGGAGGAGGCGAGAGGGGAGGAGGCGAGAGGCGAGCAGGCGAGGCGGGATGAGGCGAGGGACCCAGTGGCGACGGCATTGAAGCTGGTGGGGAGGGTGAAGGAGGTGGTGCAGGCAAGCCAGAAGAACTCCGTCTTTCGCACCATCTTCGAAATGTCCCTCGTCAGTGCCCTCCCTGCCCACCCTGCCCTCCCTTCCTTCCCCGCTTCCCGCTTGCTCCCTGTTCCCTTCTCCCTGAGTCCCCCGTTCGTTCTTCCCTTGGCCGTTCTTCTGCCACGCATGTCTGCTCTCTCCACCCAGCACAGTAGCAAGTTGGAAGTCACACCAATCACCCATTCCCTACTGTCCGTCTCTAACTTTCCTTCATTCCCTCGACCAGGACCCCATGTTCATAGTGTCTCGCGAGTTCCGCATAATGGACTGCAACGACGCCGCCGTGCGCCACATGCGCTTCGCCTCCAAGGCCGAGGCCATCTCGTGCTTCGACGCCCTCTCGGGCGCGCCCGAGTTCCAAGCCGACGGCCGGCGCTCCGCTGACGTGGCGGCTGTCAACGTGGCGCGCATGCTGCGCGGCGAGACGGTCGTCGTGGAGTGGCGCCACCTGGCAGCCGACGGGACGCCGTTCGACGTGCTGTTGAATGTGCGGGAGATTCTGGTGGACGGGCAACGGTGCATGCTGTCGGTCTGGCACGACCTGTCTGAGATGAAGCGCAAGGAGGAGGAGCTGAAGGCGGCCAAAGAAGCAGCAGAAGCGGCAAACGAAGCCAAGAACCGGTTCCTGGCGAACATGAGCCATGAGCTGCGCACCCCCATGAATGGCGTCATTGGTGTCGCCGAGCTGCTCCTCCGCACCCCCCTCACAGACGAGCAGCGCATGTACCTGGACGTCATCTGCTCCTCGGGAAACGCGCTCACCCACATCATCTCAGACGTTCTAGACATCACCAAGATTGAAGCGCACTCTCTTGCGCTCGAATCCCACCCGTTTGACCTCCGGGAAACGGTGGTGGATTCGTTAGATGCGGTGAGATCTGCTGCTAACAGGAAGGGCCTCCAGGTGACGAGCAGCGTGTGTGAGCAGCTGCCTGGGGCGGTGATAGGTGATCAGTTCCGCGTGCGGCAGATTGTGCTCAACCTGCTGTCGAATGCCATCAAGTTCACCGATGCTGGCACTGTGGGGATTGCGGTTACCACCAGTGCGGAGCAGCCGGTGCTGCAGCGAGGGAAGACGGAGGGCGGCTGTGCTGGGTGGGTGTGCGGGGGTGGATGGGAACGAGAGGAGATGTGGGAGGCAGAGGAGAAGAGTGACGGTGGGGTTCTTGGCAAGAGGGCGAGAGGGGAGCAATCAGTGGGTGCGGCGAAAGCAGGGACAGAGGCTAAAGAGGCTACCGCTGCTGCTGTGAGCACTGCCAAGCGGCTTCGCAGGGATCAGTCGGGCGGACAGGCAGAAATTCACCAGCAGCAGCAGCAGCAGCAGCAGCAGCAGGGGACGGTTCTGAGGGCAGCAGGAGAAGGCAATGTGGCGGCAGCAGCAGCGCCAGTGTGGGTGCGGATAGACGTTAGCGACACGGGCGTGGGCATCTCCTCAGAGGCGATGGCGCGGCTGTTCACGCCGTTCCGGCAGGTGGACGACTCACCGTGCCGCAAGCACGGCGGCACGGGCCTGGGTCTCTCCATCTGTCGCTCGCTCGCGGCGCTCATGGGGGGCTGCATCTCCGTCGCCTCCTCCCCCCTCCACGGCTCCACCTTCTCGGTGTGCCTGCCGCTGCAACCCACCAGGCAGTCTCCCTCTCGCCCTCACCATATCTCAAACCAAATGCCGTCAACATCAGCTGCAGCTGCTGCCGCCGCCGCCGCCGCTGCCGCAGCAGCTTCAACTAGCAAGGCAGCAGCAGCGCCAGCAGCAGCAGCAGACGCAAAGAATGGCAGCGCCCCTGTTGCTGCAAGGCCGTTTGAAAGCTACCTGAACTCGGAGCTGGGTCCCGTGGTGGCTGAGCTTGACTCATGCGGCCTGAGCGATGCCAGACTCACCCAGCTGGAGGGCCGAGGGCGCGGGGGACGGGGTCGGGAGGAAGCAGCAGCAACAGTAGGAGCAGGAGCAGCAGGAGCAGGGTCAGTGAATGAGGTGGGGGAGGGGAAGGCAGAGGGCTCACGGGATGAGGGTTCTTCCAGGAAGTTGTCAGCGGGTAAATGTTCCTCTGCTGCTGTGGGGAGTCCCAAGGGGAGTGGGGATGGGAGAAGTGGAGGAGGCAAGCGTGTGGCACGTGCTGCTGGTGGTGTTGGTGCTGCTGCTGCTGCTGGTAGTGGCGGGGATGGAGGCCCCTTCTCTGGGCTGCGGTGTCTGGTGGTGGAGGACAACGCGGTGAATCGCATGGTGGTGGTGCAGCTGCTGAGGAACCTGCGAGTCTCGTGTGACGTGGCAGAGAACGGGCACAAGGCCGTGGAGGCCTGCCGCTCCACCAACTACCACGTCATCTTCATGGTATGTCTACTTGCTCCCTCATTTGCTTCGGTGCTTCTCTCCATCTCTTATCCGCCAACTACCACATCATCTTTGTGGTCCGTCCTGGCGCTAATATTATGTTTCTCTTGATCTTTTATCCACCACCTCACCATTTTCGTGGTTAGCACACACTCTCATCTGGCTGCTGTCAGTTTGTTTTGTTTTGTTTTGTTTGTTTTTTTTTTCCGGAGGGATAAACAGACAGCCACTCCTCCCGACCGACACATCTCACCTGCTGTCCTCCCTCTACCTCCCATGTAACCTGCAGGACTGCCACATGCCAGTCATGGACGGGTTTGAGGCCACCACGCGCATTCGCAGCCTTCAGGGTGTTGAATCGCCCGCAAACGGGCAGCCTGGTTGCTGCTCTGCTGATGTGAGGAAGGGGCAGCAGCAGCAGCAATGTTCAACAGATTGCCATCAGCAGGCGCTGCAGCGGTCTGTTATTTACGCATTGACTGCCAGCGTCTTGAAGCATGAAAGGGACAAGTGTGCACTTGTGGGGATGGATGGTTTTCTGGCCAAGCCGATACGCATGAGAGACCTGCAGCAGGTGTTGAGCCAAGTACTGGCTAAGCCTCAGGTAAAAACATGCAGTGCAGCTTGCCACCATGGGCAAGCAGTAATGGTACCGTACCCATGAACCAGCCTATGTAGATCAACATATAATTTTATTTATTCACACATAAGTCAAGCTTAGTCCTGTTCTCGAGATCGGAAGGCTCTACTATGTTATGAGTTGTACGAAAGAAGAGTGCGCAGAATGCAATATCGCGGAAGTGATTACAACTACTGAGGCCTAGGCATAATATAGCAAGGCTAGCTAGGCCGAGGTTGCGGAGTCGCGAGATGGTTGGGGTGCAGGTTTGGTGTTGGGAAACGAAGGCGACGCGAGGGACGCTCGGAAGGCGAGCTCGTCGGACCGAGCCCGAAGGTCGTCGGAAGGCGTTGTTGTCAGAACATTATAGCTTATACATTTGTGTAGGCTGTAGTAGGGTAGCCCATAAAGGGTACAACCTGTTGGAAACAAGTGATTTATAGCGCCTCTGTCGTGTCGAAGCTGCGACACAAAACGGAACTGACTACAGCGAAGAAGCACGCGAGTCAACTGTCGGAGGTTACGCGAAGGTCAAAGGTCCCCGAACTTTGACCTGACGAAATATACAGTGCGACAGCAAGGACACATAACTGACTCGTTACAGAACAGTTACCTGAGTCGGCACTGTATCGAACCGCAACAGCAACAGTAAAACGGTCATTAATAATACCTCTCCATATTCCTTGTATTCATATAAAAGCTTGTATCTCTTTGTTATTACCAATCTACTTTGCCCTCACACACCAGCGCAAGGTGATTCACAATCCTTTATTAAACGCTTCCGCTATTACATTGTCCTACCAATCAACTTTGTCCTGCAAAGATCCTAAGGGCTTTTTCAGCCCATCACAACCCAATTAGGGTTAGTACTTGTACCCAACTGTTTGCTAGTTCATTCATTCTTGTTTGTTATTTTCACATGGAATCAGAGTAGGTTACTTGGGCCCACCACCTGCTACACTGCGACTACCTCCCTAGGCCCATCGCCCCTAGCCCCGCGCCCGGCCTCGTTCCTAGCCCCGCGCCCGGCCCTTACCTCGCCCGCGACCGGCCCGTACCTAGCCCGCGCTCGGCCCCGTCTCTCGCCCGCGCCTGGCCCGTACCTAGCCCGCGATAGGCCCGTACCTAGCCCGCGCTCGGCCCTGTCTCACGCCCGCGCCCGGCCCGTACCTAGCCCGCGATCGGCCCGTACCTAGCCCGCGACCCGGCCCCGTACCTAGCCCGCGCCCCGTCGACACCCGTGCCCGGCCCCTTACCTAGCCCGCGCCCCGTCGACGCCTGCGTCCGGCCCGTACCTAGCCCGCGATCCGGCCCCGTACCTACCCCGCGCCCTGTCGACTCTCGTGCCCGGCCCCGTACCTAGCCCGCGCCCCGTCGACACCTACGCCCGGCCCCGTACCTCGCCCGCGCCTGGCCCCGTACCTAGCCCGCGCCCGGCCCCGTCCCTAGCCAGCGCCAGGCCCCGTACCTAGCCCCGCGCCCGGCCCCTTCCCTAGCCCGCGCCCATCGACGCTCGCGCCCGGCCCTGTCCCTCGCCCAGCGCCCGGCCCCGTACCTAGCCCCGGCCCGTCGACACCCGCGCCCGACCCCGTCCCTCGCCCAGCGCCCGGCCCCGTACCTAGCCTGCGCCCGGCCCCGTACCTAGCCCGCGCCCGGCCCCGTACCTAGCCCGCGCCCGGCCCCTTGTTTGGCCCCACGGCCCCTAGTCTCGGCCCCTAGGCTTGGCCTCCTCGGCCCCCCCTTGTTTGGCCGCTCGGCCCCCTAGCCCCCTCGGCCCCAGTTCAGAGCCCAGCGCCCGGCCCCGTACCTGCCCAGCGCCCGGCCCCGTACCTAGCCCGCGCCCGGCCTCGTACCTAGCCCGCGCCCGGCCCCTTGTTTGGCCCCACGGCCCCTAGGCTCGGCCTCCTCGCCCCCCCCCCCCCCCCTTGTTTGGCCCTTCGGCCCCCTAGGCCCCTCGGCCCCTCGGCCCTCTTGTTTGGCCCCTCGGCCCCCTAGGCCTCTCGGCCCCCCCCTAGGGCCCTCGGCCCCTCGGCCCCCCACGTGTTTGGCCCCTCGGCCCCCCTTAGGCCTCTCGGCCCCCTAGGCCTCTCGGCCCCCCCTAGGCCCCTCGGCCCCTCAGCCCCCCACGTGTTTGGCCCCTCGGCCCCCCTAGGCCTCTCGACCACCTAGGCCCCTCGGCCCCTCGGCCCTCTTGTTTGGCCCCTCGGCCCCCTAGGCCTCTCGGCCCCCTAGGCCCCTCGGCCCCGCCCCTTGGCCCCTTAGCTACTGCTGCTGCTGCTCCTGCGTCCTGCGCCACTATGGCTTCGCTTAGAGTTCTAGCGTTCGACCCGGAGGGCAGACCTGTAGCATTTGACACGTGGCACGACGATCTGCAACTGTACCTACTGAGCGATCTTAAGGACAGTGTCTCACTGTTTGACCTCGTGTCCGGTGCCGCTCCAGCCCCTCCCGCCACAGCTGACGTTTTGACTCGTTCCAAGTGGCTGTCTCGTGACGCTACTGCCCGCTTGGCCATTCGCAACCACCTGCCCGCGACCGAATGTGCTCACTTTGGAGAGCACAGGACAGCACAGGCCCTGTACAACGCTGTCGTTGCTTGCTACTCCTCCCCTGCCACCGCTGCTACTGGCAGACTGCTACTGCCCTACCTGTTCCCTGAGCTGTCGGCTTTTGCCACAGTAGCGGACCTGGTTACCCACCTGCACACTAGCGACGCTCGCTGCCGTCCCTGCTGAGTTCCTTCCCACGAACCAGCCCCCCATGTTCATCACCCTCTACTTCATAGTCACTCGCCTTTCTGACTCCCTTTGCTCTGTCAGGGACCACTTCCTCACCCTCGACCCCACCTCCCTCACTGTTGACCTCCTCGAGCAGCATCTCCTCGCAGCTGAGACTAGTGCAGTTGCTGTAGGTGCTGCTCGTGGCACTCCGCGCTCACCCTTCTTTGAGGGGTGCTCCCCCTCCCCCCTTTCCTCCTCCTTCGCCTCTGCTGCTGCTGCAGACGTCTCTGTTCCTGAGGACGTTGGTGCTGCTTCGACTAGTGCGAAGCGCCGCAACAGCAAGGGCAAGGGTGGCCGGGGTAGCGGAGGAGGCAGTGGTGGTGGTGGAGGTGGCAGTGGGAGCGGTAGTGGGGGCAACGGTAGAGGAGGTGGTGGCGGCGGTGGGACTGGTGGCGACGGTGGAGGCTCTGGTGGCGGCGGTGGAGGCAGCGGAGGGAGTGGCAGCAGTGGAGGCGGTGGGACCGGTGGTGGTAGGTCTGGACCTCGGCGTGGAGGCCCTGGTGGTGGTTGAGGCCAGCAGCAGCAGTGTCGGAGCGAGACCCAGACGCCTCAGCAGCTCCGTGAGTGGTTGGTTCAGCGTGGGACGGGTGAGGGTAGTGAGACCTGCCCGTATGTCATTCGCACGGGTGTCCGTGCGGGCGAGACATGCGGGAAGTTTCACACTGAGCGCCGCTGCTTTGCCCGCCTTGACAACGCCTGGCGTTCTGAGTTTGGTGACGACGTCGAGCGCCCTCGCTAGGCGCAGTTGCTTCAGTCAGGAGTTCCTATCTTTGACCTAGACTATGATGTTATTATCTCTGCCATGTATGCTTTGTCTTTTAGTTCTGAGGGTGACTGTTTTCGGTGTGTGCCACCTGAACCAAGTATAGCGGCTGCTGCTCTAGGTGCTAGTGCGTCTGGTACTCCCCCTGGTACTGCGCTTGCTAAGGCCTTGCACACTTTCACGTTGGACTCCGGCGCCTCCCGCTGTTTCTTTCGTGACAGCACCACTCTCACTCCTCTCCCTGCACCTGTCCCGGTCAGACTGGCTGACCCCTCTAGGAGCCCGGTCTTTGCCCGTTCCTCCACTGTCCTCCCGTGTCCGGCGGTTCCGTCTGGCTCACTGTCAGGTCTTCACCTCCCCTCGTTCTCTACAAACTTGGTGAGTACCGCTGCCCTTCCGGATACGATGGTCACTACCACCACTCCTGGGGGTCAGCGTGTGTCGATCTGCACGTGCACACGGACGAGGCGTCACCTGGCCACGTTCACTCGTCGGCCAGGGTCGAGTCTGTACACACTCACTACTGAGCCTTCTCAGGTCGCTGCGTCAGATCAGGTGTCCGCGTCAGGTCAGGTAGCCGCCTCTTGCTCGTGTCGCCTCCTGTCGCACCAGACTCTTCTTTGGCACCACCGCCTGGGTCACCCCTCCCTGCCACGCCTTCGTGGCATGCACTCCCGTCTCCTTGTCTCTGGTCTCCCCAGGTCTCTGCCTCCCTTACCGCCCTCGCCTGCCCCGCCTTGTCTTCCTTGCGTCGAGGGGCGGCAGCGCGCCGCTCCTCTCACCTCCTCGTTTCCCCCAACGACTGCTCCCCTGAGACTCTCCACATGGACGTGTGGGGCCCAGCCCACGTCAGTGGACAGGGCCGCGAGCGCTACTTTCTGCCGGTAGTTGACGACTACACGCGGTACACCATGGTATTCTCCTTGCGCAGCAAGGGTGAGGTCTCTGAGGTCTTGATCCCTTGGATCCGCACAGTCCGTCTCCAGCTACGCGAGCGGTTCGGTCTGGACCTCCCAGTCCTGCGTCTGCACTCTGATAGAGGTGGTGAGTTCTCCTCCGACCTCTTGCGGGACTTTTGTCGTGGGGAGGGCATCACCTAGTCGTTCACGCTTCCGGAATC